ATACGCTTACCAGAGATGATATATACGTAAATGAAAGCCGTGGCAGTCTTAGAAACTCTGAAACGTTTTTTCAGCTCACTTTTTCTTTGAATATTTGGCTCTGATAGGTATGGCCCATCCAGAATAGCCCACCTGATCACCTTTTTTTCTCTGCAGGTTCGGAAGCGATTCATCAAAATGACACCGGTCGTTGCCTTACTTTTGCTGACCGCTGTGATCATCGCCGTCTTAATACAGGTACGCCGTCTTTGTGCTTCTATTTGTGTTTTATTAAGATTTTTTTGTGATTATGTGGGATTTTGAAGCGATTTTTTCACCTGTACATGAACTTATCAAGCCACAAACTGAAGATAATGTTTTCTTTTTTGGACATCAAGGAGTTTTTTGGGCGGAGTTTGCGATTAGAAGGCAGCCCATTAACGCTGAGTTAGTGGTACTAGCCACGAATACAAAAAACATGCGAAATGGCCCAGAACTAAAGAAATGGGACCTTGCTCGTACTTCCTTATTGGTGCGAATATCATCGAAGCTACCCTACTCACTGTTAAATGGCTAGAACTGCATCGAGCGATTAGCCATTCGGTGGGCGTGCCGTGCCAATATCACCGCGGGGATGCCCATGCTAAACCACCGGAGGCATATTCTTTGCTGTCAACTTTGTGTCGCTTCGAACCTTTAGGGGGCCTGCCTGTCTTTCCACTACGTGATTTTCCCCCTCTTCGGCCTTCGACCTGATCGTGGGTTTCCCCTTGAGCAGATTTCCAAAGCATTATATTCGATCGATATGCCTAATATTATGTGACAACTTCATGAGATGTAATTTCATGTAGTGGGATACCAACCTGTTTTATACAAGAAATTCAAAACAACTACAGGTGCATGCGGTGGTGACGACTCCTGACAGCCTGAACTGTACGCGAACGAGTCGAGAGAGGACGTTGCCACGATTGGGTGCCTATTTGACAGCCATCGCCTTCCTCTCAAATCTCACAACTATTTCTGTGAATTACGGACAAATTGTACGACATGTTAGACGAAAGTTCACCAAGAGAAAAGCCAGAGGTCAGTCGGACTGTGATTTCTTTTGAATTTCTGTGTTTATTTACTTGCGTGGTTGTATATTACAACACATAATAAAGGATAAGGATAAAGCATTTGCCGTTGATCAATCCCTTTTTGGGATGCGGCACGCATTCTACTTCCATTTGTACATTCGTAGTGGCGTTTGAATGCGATGTGGCCTATACAATGACTTGCGGGGGCCAGCCGATGTACAAGTCAGTGTTTTTATCCTCCCAGACAAGTCTGGTACCAATTAACCGGAGGGATGGAAGGCTTGGTTGGCCCGGGCGACTCACGACCCAGGATTTGATCCCCGGACCGCTCGCGTGGTAAGCGTGCCACTTGCCACTACACCACTTCCGCCCTTACATAAACATATATGTACTGCTCCACTAATGCATATGTTTAGGAGCTATTACAATAAGAAGTCCAAGAGGTACGCACAGTTCATGCTGCCCTGATAATGCGAATTTTGAAGGGGAGGGAGCTAGCATGGGTTGTGAGAATGGAAGCGCAATACACTGGTTGTGCAAAACTTAGGGACGAACGTAGCTTTTCCATGACATGTATTACTGGCGAGTAACATAACTCTATGGAACCTAACCACACATAGAAAGAGCTGCTACAGGCAGTACAGAAAGAAGTTGACAGGAACCGTTAAACGGTCCACAAAGCTATCATAAGTTATGTACTTCATCTACTTCGTCCTTAAGTTTTTGCACACCAGTGTAGTTTAGGCACCGCAGCGATTCCTCTCTGCAAAATTAGAATTACTGAACGACAGGCGACATGAACCGTTGCGCCACCTGCCCATCACCCCTCTTATTGAAAATGGACCCATATTTTAAATGCAACACCGAGCCGGTATGAATGGGGAAACAGTGTATTTCCAACGAATGGAAGCGCGCGAACAGATAGCTCCTTATCAAAGTGCGTGTTTTCCATGGCTAGAGACTAGCCGCTATAGCTTTGAATAAGATTGGAGCATTAATGTATTGCCAATCGAAGACGAGGACCTTATTCTTGGCAAAGGCGACGGGAGGGCGATCGAGAAAAAGAGTTGAGCCTAACAGTAATTGTCGAGTCTTGAAGAGTCTAGGACCCGCGTTGGTCATAAGGAAGGCGTACTGGTGGCGACTTGAAGGGGGTGACAGTGCGCTGGCAACCGCTGCCGGTTACTGCAGAATAGTAGCAGTGGACGGTTCAGCAGCCAGGGTCAACCGTTACGTTGGACCGATATTGGAGCGACGTTGGACCGATGTTCACCGCTCTCCGCGCCGGCATTCACTCTCGCCACCCGCGAGCCGTCTGTGTCTCCGTGCGTACGTTCACTCTCGGCATTACTCTCGTCGTCGCGTTGGACTTTGTCCAACGGGACGTGACACTGGCCGTCGTTCCTGCGCGCGTACACATGCCTTGCTGCGTTATTCCTCGTCTCCTCGAGCGCTTTGTCTTTGGCCACGATAGAGCAGTGGCGCGGACCGGACAAGAGAAATCTTTGATGGTGTCATGGCGCTGGTGGTCGCCCTGTCACTAACACACGCTTTTTTCCTGACCATACTGGGCCGAATTTGAAGGAAATACACATCCACCATTCGATTCGACCCGTCGAGCGTATCGTATCCGTGTCCGTGGTGCGAAGTAAAAAGAGTCAGATCCTCTTGGCGTGCAATTATAAGGGCTTCGATGACTACAGTTAACAGGTTGCATGAACTCTTGGGAATTGGCATTTCCAAGCGCCGAAGACTGCGGTGTCTGTCGCTTCTCGAAAAGGGGGCAGTGCTCATGGAACTTTTTACGAAGCGCAGAAAAAAAATCCCCGCTTACACACGTAAAAGAAAAGGAGGAAAAATTAGGCAGTCATAAGTGGTAGCTGAGCGCGGGATTAGTTATCACAAGGTACAGTTGTACCAAGGTGTCACATGAGTGGCGTGGGGGGGGCGCTTTGGGTTTTTGGAGAGTGAGTGCACTTGGGTTTTTTTGTGGGGGCGTGAAGTGGGTGTGGACGTGCGAGTGGGCGTACGACGATTTTAGCTGGAAAGGGGGGCGGGAGCCTAGCCCTGACAGATTTTCAGAATCGCCACAACAGGGACTGGCTGAACTCTTCCCACCGGGGTGTTCACAGTTGAAAGGCAATATGTTACTTTTGAAGGATGGGTGGGGGGTAATGACAGGTTATGGCAGACGGCATGTGTAGTGTGAGCTACGGCGACACCCAGAAATTGACTACATGTGCTTGGATTTCATTTGTATGAGGCGTGGGTTTACACTTTCATTTCATATGAATAATACAACCTTATGTATTGATGAAACGAATCAGTTGAAGGCGGAAACAAATAATAAGAAATCCGTATAATTTCTTGAGTGTAGTCTACCACTCTTTCGCAGTTGGACTTTATACTATGAAATGCGCCATGCACTTGACTTTGTTTATAACCATGAGGATTTTGAGCGCTTTCCTTTCCGCTATGCAATTATCTGGAAAATCTTTGCATCGTGGGATAGAATGACAAAACATATTCATTACCAATTTCGAACAGCTTAAAGGCGGCCTTTACAATGAAAACGTAGCTTAGTGGAAATAAGGGTATAGAGTCAGTGGAGCAGGGATGAAGAAGAAACCGTTGAAACGGCCTGGAACCCGAGAAATGGGACCCCTTGCCCGTTGATTTCGCATTGATGCGACTCTCATCGCTGTGCCCTCTTCAACGCTAACGCTCTCTCTGCTATCTAATCACTCGCCGCGTATAGACCTGCGGCGAGTGATTAGATAGTCGGTGGGCGTTCCAGGCCAACTGCGCTTAGAGGGAAGGCCATATAGATCGCCGGGAGCATATCTTTCGATGCGAATTGCGTGTTGGCTCGCACCCTTAGGGGGTCCGCCTCTCTCCCAGCTAAGTAGGTTTTCCCTTCTTCGACCTCCGTTAATACCCTGGAATTCTCCTTTACCTTATTCAATCTTCCCTTAACAAACTCACCTCTATTCGAGCATGTTCTTGAAAAAAATGAAATAAGTGAAGCGGAGTGGATGGATATGAATCACACAACTTTTATACGGCCCTATCAACCAATACGCCAGCTTCATCCATACAAAATTTGTATTCCAGTGGTTGCTCATTCACGGACCACGAGGGAATCTTTGGTGAATGAGCCACGATACATGCGGGAGATGACCAACGCCATCATTCGGGTGTTCATCTTTCATGTCGTCTGCTGGATGCCTTCATGCCTTATCCAGTTTTTGCCGGATTTCACTCTCGTCTCGGAGCTCATCACTTCTATACGATTGTTCAATAATTTCACTGATTTCAGGTAAGTAGCTATTTTTCCTCCAAGCAATTCTTTTTTATTCTGCAGTATTTTCAGATCCGTACTTTATAATCAACTTTATTACAGTGCTATGCGATGGACGATATTTACAGCTAACTGGTTAACTTATGCGAATGCGGCAGGAAATTGGATATTCTATGCAGCTATGAATCGCGAACTAAGAAGTTTAATAAGGTACTTAATGTTACCTAAATCATACCAATACTCTTCTTTATTTACTGCTTATCGAAATTGCACTGAAGGAAAGAGCACTAGGCATTTGCTTGAAATAGGATTTTAACAAGCACTGGCTTATTAAAACGTAGCAGAACACAGCAGGGTGAGAAAAATGATACACGTGCTCGTAGCGGATTTCTTTAACATAAACATCCTCAAAAGTTTTTCTAACCTCAATCTTTACCAAATAATTAAACACTGCCTTTTCCCAATTGCTACTCCTTTTGACATTACAATGTTCAAATGGCGTGAACAAGCCAAGATTCTCAAATATCTGTTTACAAGCAATTAAATTACTTGTATAACTTGTTTCAAAGGCAGCGAACGGGATGGCTGGAAGGCGGGCGGTTTTAATGACGTCATTGAGCGTATCCGTAGAAGTCCGCTGGGACATGGATCCAACCACACCAGCACGCTGAAGGCCTTGATCATTTAATGGCCTTCAAAGACGCCATCAAAACTGCTCCACCCTCCAGTCACCGTGTTCGCTGCCTTTGAGTACTGAGAGTGTCTTCAGATTTGCAACCGAAAGACGGAAACGATCCACTATGTCGCACACGGCATCACCCTCCAATATTCAGCGTAACCTTCGCCAGCAGGTATGGAAGAGAAATGCTTGGACCTCTTAATTCTTCAAGGGACACGCTATGTATTGAAGATACTTGCAGGTCACAGCATCTATGAGAGTGCTTCAATCGCTTTCCTATCGCAGCAGCCTAGGCGGCTCACTTGACGAAGTCACTTGTCCTCCTTCATTGGTTCAGCTCTCGCCTAAGTCGTCGACCTTCAGTCAAGAGCAGGTAATTATGATATACTTATATAGGGTATTGTGTTCAAAATTTATCATAAATGCATATTACTTACTTACTTTGATACTTTGATAGTCCATCAACTGGCGTTCTTCTCAGTGGGGACCACAGCTCTTCCACATAGCCCGATTTTTGGCAACTTGCATCCAATGTAGGCCGCGTTCTCTGAAAAATTTTGAAAACGAGTCGGCCCACCGGGTTGGCGGTCGTCCTAAGGGTCTCGTTTTGTCTCTTGGGAGCCATTCCGTCACGCGTAGACTCCATCTGTCATCAGTGCGACGAAGTAAATGACCGGCCCATCGATCCTTCAACTGCGTACTACAAATGCATATTATTCCAATGAAATACATACTTCGAAGCTCTGCAATAAACCCTCCAGTGAACTTCAGGCAAGGGCGTAAAGGAGGATTGCACGATATGCTGGGAGGCTAAACAAGGGAAATATACATACTATTCGAAAAGCAGGCATCCCTAACAAGGGTACGGGACGGTACGCATTGCGGTGAAGGGAATGTCCGCAGGAGCCGAAGAGGGTTATTCTCGCGCCGCTGCCCGTCCAACCCCTCGTCGCTTGGCTCTAGCCAGATAATGTCAACATTGAAGTGGGCAGCACCTATGAGGACCGCATCTATGCGGGAACTAACGAGCCAAGAGGGGGTCGCACTTCTCGGGTTCTGAACCGTGTTTTATGGTTTTTGCTTCACTTCTGCACCACAGACCACCTTTACCTCGATTTCTTACGTGCTTCTTCATATTAACTCCGGCTGGTCTCCAAAGGTTGGCTATTGGGAGCTATGGAAGGAAGACGTGAATACTTTGTATATCCCTCATGTTCTTTGCCGCAAAACGCTAGAGCGCAGATGGCCAATATCTATCTCATCTCCCGGTGCCAAAAGCTGTATCAGATTTTTAAAGCAACCACTCCGGATTGAATTGTTGGGGTAACAGCGGTCATAATGAAACTGAATCTACTGACAAGTACTCATCTCTTCCTTCTATGAAAAACCAAAGGCGGGGCTGGACGAGTTGTACGAACTTGCTTGCTCCACGGCTCCTGATCCGCGTGTATATGGATTAGCCGCTTAGCCGTATCCCTCGTTGCCATGGGGTGTGCTCGAGGTACCTCGTCTACAAGTTCATATTATTAGCCGCGATCATATTACTTTGTATGGCCCTAGCGCCATTGTCGAGCCGCGAACACAGTGAAACTCGTGGACTACACTATCCCACCCACGGACTGGGCTCTTCGTCACAACCTCATCTAGGCTTGTTGCTTCCTGGAGGGAAACTTCGCTTTTTTACTAATCGGAGTGAAAGAAAGAATTTTATTCAACGAAGTGATCCTTCGGAAGGTTCAGCAATAGCTTCAAAACATTCGGAAATTTCAGAATAACAGCCCAATTGTTGGACGAACGAAGGCGAGTCTGAACTCATCACGCGACATGGTCTAGGAACTGAAACACTTCTCTTCGGAACTGAAGCACTTCCCTTCGTAATATCGTATTATAGTTTCGAAGGAGACCTATTCCGATCTCTGTTTGAATTACTAACCTCGCTGATTGATTAATTGCGTCCATGGAACTGTTGAAGCATTTGAGCCACACTTTCAACAAATGCATGGAAAAGATAGATATTGATTATTATTCTACAAAATTATTGAGCATTTTGATCAATTTGAAGTGAATGCTGCTTTGGACGCGCTATAGTGCATTCCAAGAGAACTGGTCCAACTGAAGAGTTAAAGTATCGTGTTGTGCAACTGCATTGTATGTATTTGTTTTGCTCATTCCCACATGTAAATATCGCCCTTACACGGGTGCAGCGAAACTGAGCTGCTATCCTCACTAACATTCCTCTTCGATGATCTTCAAAGGCAGGTTTCGCAAAGGTGGTGTGGATTTGGCGCCTGGACGTACCGGGTATCCGACAGGGGCACGTCCCGCGTCAAGAAGGCAGAGACAGAAGGGTCAAGCGGACGAGTCGAGTCGAGTCTGTGGCCACAGTACTCGCTGCGACTCGTCCGCTGACCCGTCTGCATCTCTGCCTTCTTGTCGCGCGACCGGCCTCCTGTTAGGTACCCGGATGCACCAAACGGGGCTGAACATTGGCAGGTGGTCTTTCATTGGATCATTGTCTAAGCGTCCTGCCCACCCCTCCAATGCGTCTCCTGCCTTTAACTCTAATATCTTGTTACTTTATAGTATACGGTAATAATAG